TTTTTTTTTTTTTTTAAAAAAAAAAAAAAGAGGTAGACGTATGGCCATCATGACTGACTAGCATAATCAGGTGAAGGATGGTACCTGAATCTACAGCCAGCCTAAGTACTACGATTCAGGTATTCCTGAACCGACTTGCACTACTTCGAAGTACAGCATTACAGTCAGCAAGGATTCTTCCACATCTGATCACTGCCAGATAGACCAAGAGAGGCACAGGAAGAAGTTCAAAGGTGAAGTCCCAGTGTTACCGTGAGGAAAGAGGGAATCACAAGAAAAGGATCAGACAGAAAGAAGAGAAAAGCAGGCATGCAAAAAAAGAGAAACAGAGCTTGAATAGTGATGTCTGGTAAAAGAGCACATTTTCACTCCATGTAACAATTAGGGATGAAGACATACGCAGAAATTTTATCTACAGACCAGCTTTGTTCTTCCTCTGACCTCTGTACATGCCTATGTCCAATTCATTCTACTAGGAAGAAAGAGAATATTAGTATATTCTAATAATAACAAACAATCAGTATATGCTGATTCCCACAGTAGAACTGCTACTCTCTACCAAATGAGCACAGCAAGTGTTCTTGTTATCCATATGCACAATCTACTGAAGAATGAAAAACAAACATGTTCTGTTAAAAGGCAAGGGGGGAAGCTGTATCAAAATGATGCAAGTTAAAGGTAACTGGCAAACAACAACAAGGAACCTTAGCTAAGAAAATATTTATGAAGGATGTATTCCTTGAAAACTCCTATTTAGTTTTTTCAAATCACCAGTGCAGAAAAGTTGCTCATTCATACCACTGACTCCTTACATTCAGAGGAGCTGCAGTCAGATTCTTGTCTCAACATCATTTTCTCGTTTCAACAAACAGAAGACAATAGCCTAGCGGTCAGCCTGTAGGTTACATTAAAGCAGTACAGCTTTATCAGGAGTTCAAGCATCAGAACAAAAAACAGAAAAACAAAGCAGAACAAAAAAGCGAGATGGACAATTTGTACTCGTGATTGTTGAACAGGAGTTTCTGACCGGTGCAAAGTGCTCTCACCACTGTGATCTGATGGCAGAGACAGGAGATAGCACTATCCGAACATATCCTCAAAATGCTTTGGAGAGAAATACTTGTAGACAGGAGGTTCTTGCTGAGATTAGTCAGCTGTGTGAGTGAGCATAGAGACAGAACACATTTGGCTAGATCATTTTTTGTTAAGTCTGTTATGAGTACAGAGAAGGCATAAAAATTGGCCTTATAATGCAAACGGCTTCATCTGCAGCTCTGCAATAAGTTGTATTTAGGATGAATCCTTGATTTCTTGTACACTGGCTGCTACTACCGCTCCTCCCTCCAGGATGGCGTTAATGTATCTCCACGGCGGGCGCCTACTTACCTCAAATAGGCTCTGCTACAAACAAGTTTTCAGCCCCCAACCTGTGCAATTTCTTGAATTAACAGACAATGGAGAGTTTGAACCATGATCACAGGAAGGCCAGGATTCTGGCCAAATGTTATTATGAAATATGCATCAACTGCACTGTACATGCTAGTAGGATACAAGGAGGATAAAGATTTTACTGAAACTTCTTTAAAAAGACCTTTACAACTTAGGCATAGCTTCATCATTCAGGGGAAAGAGAGTCATCTAATACAATTAAAGTCATCAAAATTAGTTTCACAGAAAGGGCCATTTATTTTTAAAAAGTTATATTAACTGAAGTCTAGCACCAGACAAAGATCATAAATATTTAAGAGAAGTCAGGCAGAAGTACATTTAGAAAACAGTAATAATTAGCACACACTGGCTTATATTTTCAAAGCATTTTACAAAAACATGAATGAATTAGTCCTCACGAAACCTTTGTGAGGTAGCTAAGTGTTATTAGTCCCACTTTAGAGATAGGGAAACAGGCATGGAGAGAGTATGACCTGCTCACTACCAGACAAGTCAGACTCAGGAACAGAACACTGGAGTCCCAGCTTCCTGTCACATGTACTCTGTCCTCTTAAAAGATGCTGGTCTTCAAGTAAAATTTTATTTCCTCTCATCCCTTTTAAGACATCTGACTCCGTTTCACTCTGATGTGAAAAGGTACCTGCCACAGACTATTCATTATAAACAAGCAGAATTGGGAAAGAACATTTTTAGAAACAGTGTGATGCTAGAACCAGTTTTAAAAAGTAAGAAACTTGACATGGGTGCTCCTATACTGCCAGAGTCAAATAGTGTCATTTCTTATACGGCAGCCACTATCAAGAAAACTCAGCGGCCTATCCGCAATGCCGTTCCTGCTCAGAGTCTGCAAAAACAGGTAAGGTTTCTTTGCCACTTCCAAACAAGGAATCTCTCTGGCAGTAGTTCTTCTCCAGGAACTCATATGAATCCAACTGCACCAAAAGCAAAGAAAGGAGACTTAATCAGGAGACCTCAGGAGACTCTCCTGGTACAGCCAAGGGATCCTTGGAAAACCTGGAAAGGTTCACATATTGTGCTATGAGTTAAAGAGATGGTCTGGAGGCATCTGATGTCCTGGGAGAGTAGAAAGCAACTCTCCACAGTTACTTCGAGAAGAAAAGTCTCCTTAGTATTACACTCTGGCACTGAAATAGTCAGTGACAGAGGCATCTCTGCCTGGACATACAGGCTCCTGTCAGCCCCATGCACACAGGAAAAAGTCGTGGCAAGTCACACATTCAGTCTGGGATTAAAAATTCTAAACCACCTATAAAATTCAATTCAAGGATTTAACTCTTTATAAATGCCAAACCTGGAAGAGCCAGTGCACAAACCCAGGCCCAGATTTTAGTGGAGAAACAGAAATAAAAATAGTCCTTCCACCTTCAGAACCTCTGGTTACACGTGTCTGTTAGATACCATCTGGAGTCTCTCCAGGGAGTTAGTCTCATGACAGCTCAATCTGAAGATCCTCCCCATACTTTCGGATCAGCTTCCCGTGGTTATGGTCCACTGACCACTGCTCTGGTAGGTACTTGGGCTGCATGCTGTCCAAGAAATGCTGCCGCCAGCGTCTTTCCAACTGCATGAGAGAGCGCAGGCCTCCTTTAGCAAAACACTGCACCACCTTCAGCCCATGTGGTATATAGCTCTCATTGCAAATCCTGCCAGAACACAAGTAGAATTTAGTACACAAGCCCACGGTCAGATCCTAGACCTATCTGGAAGGAACAGCAAGACGCTGAAGGTACTTTCAACTGCAGGACTTGCTTAATTACAGTACCACAGTGAGCTAACCAGGAGGGGCCCTGGGAGGGAGAGTTTTATGCTTTGTTTCAATGTCAGGCTGCTTTCTGGAACACAGCTACACTGGAAAGGTGCGCTCTTTGAAATGAGAGAGTGCTATCGTTTTATACCAATACTAAACAAAGCTCTCAAGACACATTCCAAGCTTCTCAGAGGACAGACTGCACATTTCTCAAGGCAAGAACCGTAAGGTTCTCCAGAGCCCTGATCCTGCCACCAAACTCCCTGCCTGCATAGGTACTGAGATATAACACTAGCATGCAACAAAGAGCAGCGAGCGTAACAAGGAGAAAATACTGTCTTCACGCAAACAGCAAAACCTGAAATGAGTTAAGACTTTTGAGGAGGCTTTGGGAAGGAGGTAGAGAGGAGACTTCTCATGTATCTGGTGCCCAGTTGTCTTTCAGTCTGCCTCCCTGATCTGCCTTTCAAAAGATTTATAGAACAGCAGTGGTGTTGGGTGGTGGTGCGGGAGGGGCATGAAGGGAAGAAGACTGTTTGAAAAGAAAGGGGAAAAGGGATAAGATGGGAAACAAGAGCTGCATTTCACAGACCATAGGGCAGGAGTAAACAAAAACATCAGCAAAAAAATCTATGCTCCGCTTGTCTGCTTACAGTCTTTGGACACAGCACAGACAACTACCTTATTTGTCTCCTTGCCTTCTAGTTAAATGCATCAGAAGACTATAAATCCAGACTCTGCAGGCTTATACAAAGGATGAAATTATCTTTTTAGAGACTCGTTTTCATTCTGCAGATCAACTCCTACCAGTTGCAAATTCAGACACTCCTTAGCTCAACAATATTAATTTAGGGAAGGTCACTGGTATCACAAGGAGACCAGGAATGGGATTTGTTTTATTTTAATTAAAAAGCTTAGGGAGAAAAAGTCAGCAAGCATGATCCTCCCTCTACAAATGCTGCTGGATTTATTTTTGCTGCTGCATTAATATTTACCAAAAGATCCTTGTGTAGACACCTTTTTGTAGAACTTGTGCCTAAAATAAATGACTAAAATATTATATCTACCAGCTAGGCTGTTATACCTGGTTTCCAGACCAGCTGCTTCCTGGAGCATCTCTGGGGTCACTGCCTCCGTGTTAAAGAAGTCCTTAATGCCTTGCAGAAGTTCTGCCCTTCGGGGGTCAGGCAGGCTGTCTGCATTCAGCAGGGCTCGAGCTCCTGAGCGCACCTGCCTGCGCAGAGGGTCCTCCAGCAGACGCACTCCTTCTTCAGAGCCAATGGGGGCACCAAACTCTTCAGCCAGCTGCTGCTTCAGATGGTTGTCATAGTAATTGGAGACAGCATGGCAGGACGTGCAGAGCAGGAGCACATCATGGGAGTTGTGGTCCTTCATCTGGATGGGAAAGTGTCTCCGGTATTCGTGAGGAACAATGTTCTTCCTGGACAAGACAAATGAGCCGTTGCATTAGGTTTGGCTGGAGCTGCTACTCCCCAGTTCCACAAAGGGACAACTAATATTAAAAGCTGCGGAAAACAAAGATCACCAGGGTCAGGGCCCTGAGTGCACTAATAGGAAGAGATTGGAGAACCTATTTGAAATCCATCACTTTCAATTAAAAAATAAGAAATTAACACTGTAGAAATATAAAACTATGTGCTATAAGAAACATACCTCTCAGCTAAACAGCAGCAGCAGAAGAAACAAAAATCTCTTTATTTCTGTCCCCAGAGAGGTCAGGCTCACCTAAGCCTTTTAAAATCATAAGGAATAAGTATCAAGAGGATGCCATCAGAACCATGTATGTTTCTACTACTGCCTGCTATAATTCAAACTGCAACACGTATGTATTTCATACACTTTGTTCTCCACAGACATATTCCATCACCCTCTTTAAGAGGCAATGCTGGCCTGCTCAGTGTCAAACTTACCCAGATACATATGATCACAGGGCATTCAAACAGTGACAGCCCATCCAGAATATAAACAAGCATGACATTACAGGCCACTAACGAAATTTCTGGATACCGAATGAGATGCAGACTTCAGCCTTGTTCTGCAAGACGCATTTTCTCTTACCCCACCAAACAACTCACCGGATATAGGACTCTCGCTTGCCACATACAACACACAGGTTCTCCTTGACGGTCAGATAATAATCAACTTGAGACTCAGGACGTCCTGAAGGCTCAAACTGCAGCTTCACAACAAACGGGTCTGTGCTAACCAGCTCTGAATGGATAAAGAGAAATAAATATTCAAAAGAAATTTGCATTTGAAAGCTAGAATAAGAATGCTAAAAGAAAGGAGACTTCCTGATAAATCCCCAAGAGCGTGTCCAAAAGAAGAGATACCAAAAATTCATGTTCAGTTATCTAAGAAACATGGCAAAACAGTTGTCTTTCAATACCAACAGGAAGAGTGGCACACTTACCTCCAATCCCCTTGTCCAAATACCACTGAGCCTTCTTGCGATCACAAGTGCACAGAGGCTGTCCATCTGGTGCATGCAGGAAGCAGTTGTCATACAGCGGAGATTTTCTGTGAAACAGGGACAACACTGCAGCAACTGAAATAGCATGCCAAAAAACAAAGCTCTCTACAACCATGCATTCTACACTACAATTCACCCAGTCTCCTCTAAATCACACGAGCGCCCCTAAACATATACGTTATTCAGCAACGCAACACAAAGGCTGCTGCTAAGGGAAGCAGAACATTCAAAAGCTGTATCACATTTGGCTGTGAGGTATCTGTTACCTACTGTCCATAGAATTGGCAACTCTAAATCCCGTTTTTCAAGAGGAGCCAGTAATGATAACAGAGATTTAAAAAATTCATTAGGAAAAAACCCTAGACTTAAAGCGAGAAAGGAAGATGAGCTAAAAGAGTATGTCAGCCTATGGACAGGGCAGTTTCAAGGATCAGCTGTCCTAAGTCCATATATTAATGTTTTATTAAGGGGCATTTTCTAAAACTTAGTTTGAACAGCAGTGCTTTCATTAATCCAAGAGAAATAATGCAAAAAGCTTCTTAGAGCACTGAGAATCAAAATGCAGGACAGCATGGAAACAACAAAGCAGAGCTGAGATATAGTTCTATTTCTAGCTACTAGCTCCTGTGAAATGCAGGCACCTAATTTCAGTCAGTGGGGAAAAACCCTGTTTCAGTATTCTCTGGTGGTGGGCGGTCATTTAAGGAAGGAGTCTGCTCTCCAAAAAAACCATCTCTTTACTTTGCCAAACAAAACTGAATGGTGGAAAAGGCTGGGCTGGTGGACCACCTGGAAGGAATTGGCCAGTGATACAGACACATCACAACATGCTGTGGAAAAGTTGCCTTTCTTTCATTTCTTTCTTCTCTCCAACAGGATCATATGAATAAGCATTCCTTCAGCAGAGCCCTACCAGCTATAAAGGTTGGCCTACAGGCAAGGTACTCAGACAAAAGGATTTCTTCCAATATCCATGGGGACGGGGGAACAAAGAAACTCAAGGAAGATACTGGAGGCCCGCTTCCACTGCATATCAGCAGTTCAGCTCAAACATCACTGAGATGAGCTCAATCATCATTGAAAGTCAGTCTCACCTCCATCCCTGGAAAGCTGATGGAACAGCTCATCCTGGATGCCATCACTAAGCATGTGGAGGACAAGAAGGTGATCAGGAGTAGTCAGCCTGGACTCACCAAAGGGAAATCATGCTTGACCAATCTGATAGCCTTCTCTGATGGAATGACTGGCTGGGTAGATGAGGGCAGAGCAGTGGATGTTGTCTACCTGGACTTCAGCAAGGCTTTTGATGCTGTCTCCCATCACATCCTCCTAGGTAAGCTCAGGAAGTGTGGGCTAGATGAGTGGAGAGGGAGGTGGATTGAGAACTGGCTGGATGGCTGAGCTCAGAGGGTTGTGGTCAGTGGTGCAGGGTCTGCCCTGCCTATAGCTAGCAGTGTCCCCCGGGGGTCAGTCCTGGGCGCAGTCTTGTTCAACATATTCCTCGATGATCTGGAAGAAGGCACAGAGTGCACCCTCAGCAAGTTTGCTGATGATCCAAAACTGGGAGGAGTGGCTGACATACCAGGTGACCTGGACAGGCTGGAGAGATGGGCGGAGAGGAACCTCATGAAGTTCAACAAAGGCAAGCGCAGGGTCCCGCACCTAGGGAGGAAGAACCCCATGCCCCAGGACAGACTGGGGGTTCACCTGCTGGAAAGCAGCTCTGCCAAGAAGGACCTGGGAGTCCTGGTGGACAAGTTAACCATGAGCCAGCAGTGTGCCCTTGTGGCCAAGAAGGCCTACGGTCTCCTGGGGTGCATTAGGCAGAGCGTTGCCAGCAGGTCGAGAGAGGTGATCCTGCCTCTCTACTCAGCCCTGGTGAGGCCTCACCTGGAGTACTGCCTCCAATTCTGGACTCCCCAGTACAAGAGAGACATGGCACTACTGGAGAGAGTCCAGCGGAGGGCTACCAAGATGATGAGGGGCCTGGAGCATCTCTCCTATGAAGAAAGGCTGAGAGAGCTGGGTCTGTGCAGCCCAGAGAAGAGAAGACTGAGGGGGGATCTGATCCATGTGTACAAGTATCTGAAGGGGGGGTGTTAAGAGGATGGGGCCAGTCTCTTCTCTGGCCAGTCTCCTGCCCAGCAACAGGACAAGAGGCAACGGGCAGAAACTGAACCACAGGAAGTTCCATCGGAAGATGAGGAAAAGCTTCTTTATTGTTCCAGTGCTCAGTCACCCTCACAGGTTGCCCAGAGAGGTTGTGGAGTCTCCTCCCCTGGAGATATTCAAAACCCGTCTGGATGTGACCCTGGGAAATATGCTCTAGAGGACCCTGCTTGAGCAGGGAGGTTGGACGAGATGATCTCCAGAGGTCCCTTCCAACCTCAACCGTTCTGTGATTCTGTAATCAGCATAATTTGAGTAGTTCCCAACTCCAAATAAATAAGCATTCAAACTAGACATGCCCACAAAAAGGAAAAGTGGAAAAGAACTTTTGAAGTCACTTCCAGTCTGCTGGAGATACTCTATGAAAACAGTGAGTCTAAACTAGCTTTAGAGATCTCTCATTAAATCAAGCTTGGTTAAAATAAACAAACAAACAAACATAGCGAGACCTCAGTTTAGCATGGAATGCAATTTTGTTCAAGATTTTACTCTTCCCATGAGGTTCAGTCTTCATTTTGTATGATACCAGCTCCCAGTAAAAAAAGAACTACAAAAGGACCTTATTTCCTACAACACAATACTGTTAATGACCGCTAATGAATCAATATTATTGACTCCATTAAAATGTCCCCTCTTCATTGCCAAACCAATAGTCTTGAAAAGGAAAAAACAAATACCGAAATGCCAATTTTTTCTTTTCAAACAATGACAGTCACAGCTATTTAGAGTTCTACATCCATTTGATTAAATTATATTAGATTGTATGCAAACATAAAAGCAAAGATACCTGTTCTCCATGTCTTCCACTGCAGTGGGCTTAAAGAGACCTTTCTAAATTGTTTTAATTTAAAAATAAAAACAACTGAAGTCTCAATAGGAAAAGGCCATAGGAATTTAGGATTTGCCCTACAAAACAGCCCACTAGCCAGGGATCCCGACTCCTGCCCCAGTGAAGCCGAAGTAGTACTGTCCGCTCCTCTCCAGCCCTGGTCAACAGAGAAGTGCTGTGCTTTGATGCCACAGCAGATTGGTACTTGCTGTGCCCTCTGGCACCTCCCATCCTCTCTCTGAGCCCCGCATAACCTTAGCTTCCATATCAACTCAGTACTTTGACAACTCTGTGACCACAGTGATCTGGAGCAGCATGGTATAAATAGCCTGCAAGGCAGATCCTGCTCACAAGACAAGTTCTGCCCAGTTTGCCACCTTTTCCCTAGAGGAGACAGGGTACAGCTGTTTGGGCTGTAAATGCCACCCTGACAGCCAAATGTCTCCTGCTGGGCCTCTGCTCTGGAGCTAACGTCTCCACGTGAGAAGAAAGGGCAAAAGCTGGAGACACCTCCTCAACCTACTCATGACCTAGCACAGTTCTGAGCACTGCTGTCACTGTTAGCATTACCTTGAGGGAAAGGGGAAAACCAAAATAGGATCTCACTCCCATGATTGTTGGGCACCATGTTTCCTCTTCCTGGCTCACATTATCTGCCTTGTTTAATGAGTAGACCATGATGGATCATTCAGTTTGCCATCTACGATGCAAGGAGAAAAACGTGCTCACAGACTTACCTTGCAGAATATCCCACACCCAGAGGCTTTCGCTTCTGCCTTCGAGGATCCCTCACTTGCTGACTGCCAGAGGGCTGGCTGCTCATGGCAGATTTCCGATTCTTTGTTTTCTGCGGGGAGCCTGCCTCTCCACTCTTCTCATCTCCTGTGCTGCTGCTCCTTCTTCCTCGAAATGGAATATCCACTAACCCCTGGCACCTACGCAGTACTTTTTCCCAAGCAGCAACAGAGTTTTCACCTTCAGATGTAGCAGGGAGGCAGGCAAATCCCAGCAAATGGAGGAACAGAGCCACCGAGACCTGGGCATCCTTAGCAGCATAGAGGACCTGGAGAAAAAAATAAAGACATTGCGATACTGGCACACAGCAAACACTCCCAAACATTACCAGTCTTTAACACTAGATAGAGTGAAACCAGAAGCTGGATTTATTTCATTTCAAAGTTTACACAGAGTTCTGGCAGTTGAGTGCCAATTTCACGCCACCACAAACCCCACATTTTTAGGGTCAGTGGGACCTGAAACGCTCATGGGTTCCTCCAGGAACCACAAGGCATGGAAAACTTTCCAGGCAAATCAGGCCTGAAATGCTCAGCAGGACCTCCAAGGCACCCACTGGAAATTTCTCAGGTCAGCCAGGCCTCCCCACCAAGCCCTCCCCAGCTGTAAAGAAAGGCCTCTCTTAGCACACCTTCTATTAATCTTCCATGTGATTATTTATCTTGTCATCCCCCCTAGTGGTCACTGATTTTGTAGACACCTGCAGCATGACTGCTTAAAAAAAAAAAAAAAAAAAAAAAAAAAAAAAAAAAAAAAGTGAGCAATTAGGGGAACCATGACAGTATAAAGACAAGTGAACAAGGTTTGCAAGGAGAGGTCTTTCTCTTCCGTTGCACTGATATAGATTGGAGGAAATAAAATAATAAAAAGGTGGTGTTTGGGGCACACAAGCACTTCAAGTGATCCATCCACCTGGATTAAAGGGAAACAAGGCTGAAGAATCCAGGGAGGATGACAAAAAGTTATCTTTCTGGAAAGAAGGAAACTCAGGCACAGTCTGAAATTAATTTCAGATCAGTCACACACACCAGATTTTGAGACAGAACTGCGAGGAGCCTCAGACCTCTCTATTACAATGTCTCTCCTTTAATGACAAGGTTGTTCTTCCTCCCGAAACACTAAGTTGAAGCAGAAGACACACCTGATCTTGTGTCAGTTCTTCTGCCTCCCAGTTGCTGCAACGCACATGAGGAGACTTGTCAAGTGGGCAGTTCAGGACTTTTTCAGCTAAAGACTTAAGGCTAAGGCAGTTGTGAAGTAGATCCTTCCTTAACAAAGAAAGTGAAACAAACATATTAAAGACAAAACTAAACATGCATGCAAATTCAGGCAGATTCGTACACCCTCATCCTGCCAGAACACAATGAGCTGCTGCACATGATGCATAACTCCCATCCAAACAGCATATAGCAACCTGTCAGCTTCACAGGCCCTCTCTCTCACCTCCACAAAAACGTCCTTTCTAGATTTAGTAAGGATCTACTGTCTGCAGCACGCAAAGCATGCCAGGATGGGAGTTGGTAACATTTAAGACTGAAGTGTTTGCCTCTAAACTATCTGCTTCTTAAATAAAGAGGTCTGTCACAGAGTCACCAGCTCCATGAATTCATAGGCCACTTAAAGAGCCAGGACCAGGGACACCTTCTGAGGAGTGAGAGATCCAGGAATGACTCACAGGAACCCTAGCCACTCAAGTACCCAGCCAGCACCAAAGCACAAGAAATCTGTCCTTGGTGCTAGAGGCACCACAAGGTCAGCAGTTCGTTGCTCCAGATCACTAACAGCACATCTAGGTACATATATATATTATACGTGAAGAATATTCCCGAGTAAAACATTTTATTTTAAGAGGAATGAAGGATGAGAAAAATAGTATCACAACTGTAACATTTTAATGGAAGCATTACTATTAGAAAAGAAAATTAGAGCTCCTTTATCTTTATAATTTTTCATGAAATCCTGTAATCTAACTGTTCCACTCACATGGTACCACAATCCAGTACTTCCAAGCGGTGCACTCAAACATCTGATTACATGCTGATCACTCTGACTGCATCACTTCACCGCAGCTGGAGTTCTAACAGGCTGAAGCACGATACCCAGAACAGTCCATATGGGCAATACATGATGAGACTTACAGGCACAATTAACATTCATGAAGATGTAATTTCCATTAAGAACATAAAATAGAAGCATGACACGTTCTTTAGCTGCTGCTGTAACTGCCAACGCTCTAACCGTCTTGAGAACTCCTACCTGCCTGGCATCGTTCAGCATACACAAGTTATTTTTTAAATATTTTCATCGCAAATGAGACACTGCCACTAGAAACTCACCGCTGTCTCATAGCTAAATAGCGTAGATCCACATTCCCTTTGACTGGAAAGCCGTAATCCTGAAGTAACTTGCAAGCATCTTCCCAGCATCCTACCCCAACTTTCAGAACAGTACTATCTGCCATGATGTTCAGTAGAGTCTTTGGGATAGTCTGTCCATTGGCAACAAGCCTGGGCAACCGAATAAGAACGCAAAGGCCGCTGGAAGAAGCCATCTGTAGGAGGGATACAGGATTTGCTTTTCCTTCCACAGATACCTGAAACAAAACCCAAAATCAGAGTTCAGCTTACAGTATTATCAGCAGTACCAAGGCTGGAACAAATCGCAACAAAAGAGGCCACAAAAGATAGGAAAAATCTACTAGGCCAAACAGTCAAATGTTGTTAGATGACTCAAACTTTTTACTGAAAATTTACAGTTTCACGGTTTACTGTTTCACAATAGTACTGCCCCACAGCTACTTCTTACCATGCTTCTACTAGAGAAATTGCCCCCTCTTCACCCTTCCTTCCCCCTCACAGCCGAGCTGGTAGAAGATATGCTTTTTAATCCACATCAGCACAAAGCAAACCCCTACATAACTGTTTACGGCAAAGACAGTGCTTAAGTGAAGCTTTTATTAATGAACGCAGGGTGAATAAATTTCCGGCCAAACTAACGGCAAAGGCAAGCTTTACAAATGGCTCAAGGCCTCTTTTGAGAGTTCACATAAGCAAACGTAAAAGGAGAAGAGGAACATTGCTTTCTGGCAGGCCCACTATTTTCTACCTACATATCAGTATTTTCTTCTTCTTCTGTGCCTATTATCTAAATATATATATATTTCCTAAACACAGAGGTGGATTAAAAATAGTCTAAATCCAAATTACTTTTACTGAGTCACCCTGAAAGAGATATTATACAAAGCATACAATGCTATACAACCAAATGACTATCATTGCACGTTTAGGATATTTAATTTTTCCCAGAAGTTCAGCAAGTGAATACAACCAGCAAATTTAAAAAAACATAGTCAGCAGACTTAAACGTAAGAACAATCAAAATCAGTGGATGCTTCACCGATTTCATGACAGACACAGGCAGTTTCAACACTCAGTCCTGTTGTACCCACTCAAGCACTGCTCCCTAGATGAATGCTAGTTAAAAGCCCCAGTCTACTCCCTCTGCCTTTGCGATCTAAAGTGCAGGTGTTATTGGATCACTCACCCATTCACAGTCAATTCCAAGCACCGGCCACTTCCCCAGCTCTTTCCTCAGCAACGGTTCAACACGCCGCCACTCCTCCTGCTCTGAAACTATCACTATGTCCGCACCAAGGATCCTCTCCACCCGGGACAAGGTGGGAGATCCGAAGAAGGAAAGCACCTCCTTATCCTCGGCCTCAGTCAGTTCCTCATCTCCCGGGTTTCTGATCGCTTCTCCTCGCTGGCTGCTACAGCACGATTTTCCTCTCCGCCGCTGAGCTGCCCTCCACAAGGCCAGGCCACCCACCGCAACCCCCAGCAGGGCGGCCAGCGTCACCGCCACCGCCGCCTGCTTGGGCATCTTCAATCCCCCTCTTCCCGCCT